CTCTCTCTCTCTCTCGACCCCTCACTCCCAATGTATATGCTTTTGGGTTATATGGTGTGTAAAAATGGATAACTGAGCGGTTGATTGCGGACAGGGATGAGGAAGAGAGATAGTCAGCGGGAGAGGGAAATAGAGGGGCATTGGGTTTAATACCCGATTGATTGCATAAACAATCAGAGAGGAGAGAGAGAGAGAGAGAATAGGGCAGAGTATGGGTCGGTCGGGGCATACAATTTGTCGTCTCCATTGACACACAAATTAATGTGTTTATCGACGCGTCTGTACAGCAAATTCTATATGTGTTTTGTTATGGATATATCGCTATTGTTATCGACTTTTAGTATTTGTAAATCTCTGGTCTCATCCCTCCCTCTCCTCTCTGATTGTTTATGCAATCAATCGGGTATTAAACCCAATGCCCCTCTATTTCCCTCTCCCGCTGACTATCTCTCTTCCTCATCCCTGTCCGCAATCAACCGCTCAGTTATCCATTTTTACACACCATATAACCCAAAAGCATATACATTGGGAGTGAGGGGTCGAGAGAGAGAGAGAGAGCTCATGATATAGAGTGAGTACTTAATCACCAGAATATTCTTTAAAGAAAACACTAAATTAAGTTATAAAGTCATGACATGTCGTATACATTCATATACACAACGAAAAGCTCACATCACATACAAAATACGAGTATTATATAAGAAATATTAAGCCTAAATAAAAATCTAGATTTATATCATGGTATATAGAGTTATGTAAGTATATATAGAAAGTAATGGTAACTTACTTTGAAGTTTTTGCTCATAAAACAATAGATCAATGGATCGATTAGTGAGTGAATAATCGATAGGAAATGACACGAGAAATAGGAGTAGACATAGAAGTAGTACTGCTGTCGGGTCTGAAGGCGGCGGAGATCGTCAAACAGCCACAGAACCAGATTGAAGATCTGCAATGGCATCCAACATATCGCAAACGATATAACCAAGGTGCATAACATTTTCACCACCTATGATTTCATATAGAACAATTAACAAATATATATTAAATATTTTGGTTACAAAAATTTCAAAAAACATTTTTCTAAGTTAGACGATTATGGTTGATTAATATAATTTTTGTTTAGTTTTGTACAAATTTTTATTGTTTAATTCAATTAGTTGTGTTAATAATGCTTTTTTAACTATGGACATATAAATTACATTGTTTTATATGATATTTTAATATGTATTGTAAGTTTATAAAGTATACGATAGTGCATGGTGCTTTTAAGTAATTAGATTTATATTATGGATGTCTGTGTTTGGAGTATAAGAAAATCTCATTAATTTCAGGGATTATTTTTCTAATGAAATAAAAATAAAATGTAAGATTTATAAATAAATATTACTCTTAATTCTCTCGCTCTCTCTCTCTCTCTCTCTCTCTCTCTCTCTCTCTCAAATTATTAGTAAATATTAAAATTCTAGTTTTGAATACAAAGTATTATATTGTTTTTGTTTTATTAAAATATTCGTTGATTTTTCATATTATAATTTCAGTAAATATAAAAAATAATTTTTGATTAAAATTCAAGAACTCTTTAATAACTCATAGTATGATCACATGATATGAATATTAAGTATTCGTGAATAATATAATATATTATGATATAATAAGATTATAAATTTTGATCAAAATTACATCGGGTATTGATTATTATTCTCAATATAATATTTTTCTGTTATAATAATAGAAACAACAATTTAATTAAAATGATGATTTGCATACTGCATGAAAATTTAATAAACTATCGGTATGTTAATATTTCTCAACTAAGCATGTGCATTGAATACGAAAAATGTAATTTATTCTAAAAGTTCTCTAAGACAATAATATACAAATAATAATAAACAATAATAATAAATAATATGTATTTCATTTTACAGTGTAGACACTTCTGTTAACTTTTATATTTTATAACTAAAACTACATATATCATATTTATTTTAACTATTTTTAATATTTACCTTGCTTAAAGCAATTTCAAGAATTTCTATGCAAGGTTGATTAATTGAGTAACACGGCGGAATATCATATTAAAAATAATTTCGAAACTATATTTATCTTGTATGTATTTTATTAAACAGCATTATATTACTGATATAGCTTTAATGCAACAATTCCTGATTTTATATGGTAACATTTTGTATGGTCAAAACACAAGTTTGTAAGTATTATAAATGTTTGCCTTAACGCATGCATACATAATATATTTTATAATGCATTAATATTTAAATTACATTCATGCTACTGTATTTGTATACTTTAATATTCTATCTAAAATATTATCTAGAACTATAACACAACTACTAACCATTGTCAAAATTAATGAGAAATTTTGACCAGGAAAAAAGGCAATCACATATTGACATGCATATTGTCACTCCGTAACTAATCTAGGCAAAAATAAGTTGCATTAAATAAGCTTTAAAAAAATCACTGACATTATTACACTGTACAGCGAAATAAGATTTGTTCGCAAAACCGTTTACAACACAATAAATAAATACAATCCGTGTTTTATCGCCAAAATATAAGCCATAATCTGGTTATAAATTAGTATAAAAACTCTTTTTGTGCTTAATTTCCATGTGTTGTCTGTTTTATTTTCACGGCATTTGTATTTCTCGCTAATCCATACAAATTAATTGTCTGTTTGTTCACTAACTGATGGCAGAGAGAGAGAGAGAGAGAGAGAGAGAGAGAGAGAGAGAGAGAGAGAGAGAGAGAGAGAGAGAGAGAGAGAGAGAGAGAGAGAGAGAGA